AGTGCATGCACGGCAGCAGGCAAGACATGACAACCACGCACCTGTTTGTTGCTGTCGCTTTCGGCGGCTGTTGTTGTTTGCAGTTGCGGGAGCATTTGTAGCACGTTGCTTTGGGAGGAGCTGGTGCTCGTGGGGCCAGTGCTGCCATCATCCGTCAAGTCCTGCTCCATGACGAGTGCAGTGACTGATGTGTGTGTGAGTGAGTGCCGTGTTGGGATCAAGGTCTTGTCGAACGATGTGTGTGTGTTTGTCTCGGATAAGCGCGAGAATGGGGTGAGGCGCACGCCCAGAGAAAATAGCGAAGAGAAGAGGCATTGAAGATACAGCAAAATTTCGTGCCTTGGAAAACTTGTCATGTTGTCGCTTGCCCGCGCGAGGCTTGAGTGCGTGATTTGTGTGTGTGTGTGTGTGTGTGTGTGTCTGACTGTGGCTGACTGTGGCTGACTGTGTCTGACTGTATCTGACTGTGTCTGACTGTGTCTGACTGTGTCTGACTGTACAGCGTTTTGCCTCAATCTAGGTTCATGGACAGACAACAACACACAAACACAGAGTTCTATGAGAGAACAGAATAAGCGGAGAAATAAACAAAGAACAGAAGCGATTCGTGTCCCCACACGAAACGTGACACTGCTGCAGCAAGCTTGTGAGGACATCAAGTCCACACATTCACGCCGGCGCCCATGGGTCCAGTTTCTGTTCCACTGTCATCACTATCAATAGTAGCAATGTGCGCGCGAGAGAGAGAGAGTGTGTGTGTGTGTGCGTGAGAGGGAGAGAGAGAGAGAGAGGGAGGGAGAGAGAGAGAGAGAGAGAGAGAGAGAGAGAGAGATCGAGTGGAGGAACAAAGAGAGAGGCAGGCATACAAGAATCATCAGTTACACAGGGTAGAGTTGAAAGAGCAAGATGTTGTTGATACAATGATGGTTCACGATGCGCAAGCAAGCAAGCTACATCACATCAACCGCATCGCATACACATACACGCGACACACACACACACATAAACACACGACACACACAAACACACATACACGCAAAATGCACTTACCCATGGCCGTCGTCATCTTCAGTCATCGCTGCCGTCATCACTGGTGTCGCCATGGCCAAGAT